GCTCTACCAGGTCCACTAACCTGGCTCTGCCGGGCCCACCAACCTGGCTCTACCAGGTCCACTAACCTGGCTCTACCAGGTCCACTAACCTGGCTCTACCAGGTTCACTAACCTGGCTCTGCCGGGTCCACTAACCTGGCTCTACCAGGTCTACTAACCTGGCTCTACCAGGTCCACTAACCTGGCTCTGCCGGGTCCACTAACCTGGCTCTACCAGGTCCACTAACCTGGCTCTACCAGGTCCACTAACCTGACTCTGCCGGGTCCACTAACCTGGCTCTGCCGGGCCCACTAACCTGGCTCTACCAGGTCCACTAACCTGACTCTGCCGGGTCCACTAACCTGGCTCTGCCGGGCCCACTAACCTGGCTCTACCAGGTCCACTAACCTGACTCTGCCGGGCCCACTAACCTGGCTCTGCTGGGTCCACTAACCTGACTCTGCCGGGTCCACTAACCTGGCTCTGCCGGGTCCACTAACCTGGCTCTGCCGGGTCCACTAACCTGGCTCTGCCGGGTCCACTAACCTGACTCTGCCGGGCCCACTAACCTGACTCTGCCAGGCCCACTAACCTGACTCTGCCGCGCCCACTAACCTGGCTCTGCCGGGCCCACCAACCTGACTCTGCCGGGCCCACTAACCTGGCTCTGCCGGGTCCACTAACCTGACTCTGCCGGGCCCACTAACCTGACTCTGCCGGGCCCACTCACCTGGCTCTGCCGGGCCCACCAACCTGACTCTGCCGGGCCCACTAACCTGACTCTGCCAGGCCCACCAACCTGACTCTGCCGGGCCCACTAACCTGACTCTGCCGGGCCCACTAACCTGACTCTGCCGGGCCCACTAACCTGACTCTGCCGGGCCCACTAACCTGACTCTGCCGGGACCACCAACCTGACTCTGCTGGGCCCACCAACCTGACTCTGCCGGGCCCACCAACCTGACTCTGCCGGGCCCACTAACCTGGCTCTGCCGGGTCCACTAACCTGGCTCTGCCGGGGCCCCCTAACCTGGCTCTGCCGGGCCCACTAACCTGGCTCTGCCGGGCCCACTAACCTGGCTCTGCCGGGCCCACTAACCTGGCTCTGCCGGGCCCACTAACCTGGCTCTGCCGGGCCCACTAACCTGACTCTGCCGGGCCCACCAACCTGACTCTGCCGGGCCCACTAACCTGGCTCTGCCGGGCCCACTAACCTGGCTCTGCCGGGCCCACTAACCGGCTCTGCCGGGCCCACTAACCTGCTCTGCCGGCCCACTAACCTGGCTCTGCCGGGCCCACTAACCTGGCTCTGCTGGGCCCACTAACCTGGCTCTGCCGGGCCCACTAACCTGGCTCTGCCGGGCCCACTAACCTGGCTCTGCCGGGCCCACTAACCTGACTCTGCCGGGCCCACTAACCTGACTCTGCCAGGCCCACTAACCTGGCTCTGCGGGCCCACTAACCTGACTCTGCCAAGCACACTAACCTGACTCTGCCAAGCACACTAACCTGGCTCTGCGGGCCCACTAACCTGACTCTGCTGGGCCCACTAACCTGACTCTGCCAAGCACACTAACCTGGCTCTGCGGGCCCACTAACCTGACTCTGCCAAGCACACTAACCTGACTCTGCCAAGCACACTAACCTGGCTCTGCCGGGCCCACTAACCTGACTCTGCTAAGCACACTAACCTGACTCTGCCGGGCCCACTAACCTGACTCTGCCAAGCACACTAACCTGGCTCTGCCGGGCCCACTAACCTGGCTCTGCAGGCCCATTAACCTGGCTCTGCCATGTCCAATAAAATGGCTCTGAAGGGCCCACCAACCTGACTCTGCCTGGTCCACTAACCTGGCTCTACCAGGCCCACTAACTTGACTCTGAGGGGCCCATTAACCTGGCTCTCCCAAGCCCACTAACCTGGCTTTGAAGGGACCAATAACCTGGCTCTGCAAGGCCCACTAACCTGGCTATTCTGGGTCTAATAACCTGGCTCTGAAGGGCCCATTAACCTGGCTTTGCCAAGCCCACTAATCTGGCTCTGCTGGGCCCACTAACCTGGCTCTGCTGGGCCCACTAACCTGGTTCTGCCAAGGTCCCTATCCTGGCTCTGCCGGGCCCATTATCTTGGCTCTGCCGGGCCCACTAAACTGGCTCTGCCAGGCCCACTAATCTGGCTCTGCTGGGTCCACTAACCTGGCTCTGCTGGGTCCACTAACCTGGCTCTGTTGGGCCTACTTACTTGGTTCTGCCAAGGCCACTATCCTGGCTCTGCCGGACCCACTATCTTGGCTCTGCCGGGCCTACTAACCTGGCTCTGACGGACTCACAAGTCTGGCTCTGCCGGGCCCACTAACCTAACTCTGCCGGGCCCACTAGGCTCTGCCAGGCTCACTAACCTGGCTCTGCTGGGCTCACTAACTTGGCTCTGCTGGGCTCGCTAACCTGGCTCTATCGGGCCCACAAGTCTGGCTCTTCTGGGCACACTAACCTGGCTTCTTCGGGGTCACTAACCTGGCTCTGTGGGCCCACTAACCTTGCTCTGCGGGCCCACTAACCTTGCTCTACAGGCCCACTAATCTGGCTCTGCCAAGTCCAATAAAATGGCTCTGCCGGGCCCACTAACCTGGCTCTGCCGGGCCCACTAACCTGGCTCCACAAGGCCCACTAATCTGGCTATTCCGGGCCTACTAACCTGGCTCTGCCAAAGCCACTATCTTGACTCTGCCGGACCCACTATCTTGGTTCTGCCGGGCCCACTGTCCTGGCTCAACTGGCCCACTAACCTGGCTCTGCCGGGTCCACTAACCTGGCTCTGCCGGGGCCACTAACCTGGCTTTGTGGGGTCCACTAACCTGGCTCTGACGAGCAAACTCATCTGGCTCTGCCGGGTTCATTAACCTGGCTCTCTATTGCCCAGTTACCTGGCTCTGCCAGGCTCATTAACTTGGCTCTGCCGGGCCCACTAACCTGGCTCTGTCGGTCCCACTAACCTGGCTCTGCCGGGCCAAGTAACCTGGCTCTGCGGGCTCACTATCCTCTCTCTGCCGGCTCACTAACCTGGCTCTGCCAGGCCCACTATCCTGACTCTGCCGGGCCAACTAACCTGGCTCTGCCGTTGCCAATAACTTTGTTCTGCCGGACCCACTAATTTGGCTCTGCTGAACCCACTAACCTGCGTCTGCTGAGCCCACTAACCTGGCTCTGCTGGGCTCACTAACCTGGATCTGTCAAACCCACTAACCTGGCTCTGCCGGGCCCACTAACCTAGATCTGTCAAGCCTACTAACCTGGCTCTGCCGGGCTCGCTAACCTGGCTGCTGGGCCCACTTTCCTGGCTCTGCCAGGCCCACTAATATGACTCTGCCGGGCTCACTAACCTGTCTCTGCCAGACCCACTAACCTGGCTCTGCAGGACCCACTAACCTGACTCTGCCAATGCCACTAACCTGGCTCTGTCGGGCCCACTAACCTAGCTCTGCTGGGCCCACTAACCTGGCTCTGCGGGCTCACTAACCTGGTCCTGCTGACTTGCTAACCTTGCTCTGCCGGCTCGCTAACCTGGCTCTGCTGGGCTTGCTAACCTGACTCTGCTGGGGCTACTAACCTGGCTCTGCCGGCCCCACTAACCTGACTGCCGGGCTCACTAACCGGACTCGCTAGCCTTGCTATGGTAAGCCAACTACCATGGCTGTGTCTGGGCATTAACCTAGACGCATTTGACCTGTTCAAAACCTATTGGAACTCACTGCGAGGAGTCCATCCTGGAGAAGTCAAACAAATCTGCTCTAACTTACAGGGAACCTTGGAGTTAGGTCGCCACCCGAAGCAAACTATTTATTCTCGTGGGATATTTTTCTGAGGGCTCCAAGAGGCAATGTAAGGAAGCAAAATGCCTCCTTATTTTACCCCATATGTGAACATGAGATATTATTGTGAGTAAAGTTTTTCATAGTGTTCATTCTGTATAATCCTACGGGTTTAGTGCTCCCCCATGATTATAATATTAATTATAATCATAGTGTTTGTTAACCCTAAGACCTGCCTTGCCAATCCCCGAGGCAAGATTTATCATCAGAGACAGTGAGGGACGCAGCAGATTGTGTTTGGAATCAGCAGTAATAGCCACAACCAATACAGTTTCTTAAAACTCTGTATCATTCACAATCTCTGACGTTTTAAGAGGTTTATTGTACTTCACCCTGACACTGCCATACCTAGCCTCACCTACTCTGCTGACTATTTTCTCACATGCAACAAGTCATCCCAGGACTTCTCTCCACCCACTATTGATATCCATCCTTTCATTCTGTGTGAATTGATACAATTCATGGTGAACGACACATTTTCATTAATAAACTGTCATAACTTACACACTGTGTTTTATTTACATACCATCTGTATGTTCTATCACAGTATAACCATTGCATCTCAGTGGAAAGAAGTCACCGTCTCTGACCTTTTTTTTTTTGTTATCCCAGGTAATTTTTACATCTGTTATGTAAAACAATTGTAATCATCTAAAACTTGTGTAACTGTAGTTATGTGTAATTATACCTAAATAAGCTAGGTACTACGATGACAATAATGAACTTTAAACTTTGCGACTTATTTATGTAGTGGATGGTACCCTGGAGGAGGACCTCAGAATCACAGCGGGAATGACACAAAATACTTGACTTTCTTGAGTTCTCGTGTGTTATTAATCTTCCCGTGTTAATAATACCAATGAAACATTTTTATTATCTTTATCTCAAGTAATATAGACAGTCTCATTCATCTCGTAGGTTCCCGCCAGATACATTGCTGCTCTCTAGAAATATATCAAGTTATTAATGTATATTTTATTATAGCAAAATTTTATTCATATTAGAGCAACTGCTTAAACTCAAAGTAAATTAATATAATATTATCAAGAAAATTTCTCCCCTCAAAGGTTGAATTATGGAGTAAATTTTGTATAAGTTTAGTGATGAAGGTAACATAAGGTGGATGTAAGGTGAGTGTGGTGGTGGTGCGTCTCCCTGGCTGCTGCTGCTGCTGCTACACAGTAATGCTACCAGTGTAAACAACACAGACATGGCCACGGCAGCTTATAACTATGTTGTTACCGCACATAAACCCACCGCTGTTACAGCCTGTGCCACCGGTCAGTGTGTATGTGTGATGGGGAGACAGTGTGTGTGGTGGGTGGTGAGCTGCAGGTGGGGAAATATAGGTGATAATGTGATGGGGTGACGATGTCCCCTGCCTGCCTCCTCTACCTTGGTGACACTTTTCCTTTTCTCAGATATAACTGTCACCCGCTGCCTCTAATTCCTCTCTGCTATATAAATGTTGGCCAGGGAAGGTATCCTGTGTCCCGAGGTATCCTGTGACGAGGAGAGTAGCCTTTACTGCTGCCTCACTATACTACTGTCACCACACATGACTGTCATCATACATGACTTACTGTACATGACTCACCATGCACATGATTGTCACAACTCATGACTGTCACCATACACATGATTGTCACAACACTCATACCTGTCACCAAAACTCGCAAAATCATAATGACACAATTGCAAACAAACCATGGTATGGATGAAGATCAAACTCACGGCAAGTGAGACATAAAACTCTCAGACCAGCACATAAGTCACCAGGCCAGGTGGCTACAATAAGATTCATCCAGTTAGGTATATTTATACACCAAAGCCCCTCAAGGAAGGTTCCTTGATGTTGGTGAGGGGCTCTTGATTTAGGAAATTGGATCTGTGCTCCAGTTCCCCGAATTAAGCCTGAATGCCTTCCACATCCCCCCCAGGCGCTGTATAATCCTCCGGGTTTAGTGCTTCCCCCTTGATTATAATAATAATATACACCAAAGGGAGGTTAGCATGGGTCCCACTGTGACTACAAATGCAAGTTTTTACGGATAAATCTCCTGCCAGCGTGGCTGTGATGAACTCTGGCTCAAGGCCGTTACCATGACTTTGCTGGGCTTATGTGGTGGCCTGGAGTTTTACGACTCGTTTGCCGTGAGTTCAGTCCCCACCCGTACTGTGGTCTGTTACATACACAATTGTCACAACATTCATGAATGTCACCATACACATGATTGTCAACATACACATGATTGTCAACATACACATGATTGTCACAACACTCATGACTGTTCAATAGCCTCCCAGCATACATAAGGGGGATTACCAGTAGACCCCTGGTTGTCTTCAAGAAGGCTCTGGACAGGCACCTGATGAGCCAGGCTGTGGTTTGTATGTTGGTTTATGTGCAGCCAACAGTAACAGCATGGTTGATCAGGCCCCTGATCCACCATGAGGCCTGGTCACAGACCAGGCCATGGGGGCATTGACCCCTGAAATCCTCTCCAGGTATACGTATGATAATCACAACACTCCTGACTGTCACCATACACAGTCACAACACTCATGACTGTCACCATACACATGATTATTGCAGCACTCATGACTGTCACCATACACATGACTCACCATACATATGACTCACAACACTCGTGACTCACTTCTGACATGAAAACCAACTCATCACAACCATCATCACACTTGTCAGCCATCACTCTTCATGACCTCTGTTGTACCCTGGAATCCATATTTCATTATCAAAATAGCCTTTTATATATGTGAAAGCTGTAAACATTGCATTTGACTCTGTGAGGTAGCCACTAATAAATGGTATGTAATTATTTTTCTTTGGTTTGAAACCTTGCATATTTGCAATTATAAAATGTGATACATTGCTAGTTGTGCTGAAGGAGAGCTCATTGGTTGGATGTAGTATCTGTGGCTCTGATGAGCCCACCACTGATTTTGTTTCCAGTTAAGCACGGCTCCTAAGTGGTAATACATTTTCAACATTTCTTGCTATTCTTTTTTGCTTCCTGGCACAAAAAAAAATCCATGTATGTTTATGTGGTTATGGTTTGCACATCCAGATTGTCATTAATGAGGCTTTACACACCTTTTCCCCTTATGGTGGAAGACAGGACAGTTTCAAGAATAACATTGTCCTTTATTTACTGAACTATGGCACATTTTTGAGTGGAAGAACTTACAGGACCTGGAACAGCATGTGCTTTCATTCTTTTCTTGAATAGGATCCTTTTCTGATTAAGGGAAAAAGACTTAAGTGATGTAAATGGCTACAAAGCCCAGTTTGTCATTTGTATATTATATTTGCAGGTCACTTAACATCACCTACAGACCTGAATCTTGTGGTTGCACGGAACAACAGGGTTGAACTCCACCTTGTAACTCCTGAAGGACTCCGACCTCTCAAAGAACTCACTATATATGGAAAAATAGCATGCATGCATCTTTTTACTCCAATGGTAAGGAATTTTAGTGTAGTTTAATATGGGAAAGAAGAAATGAGAAATGCTTAATTGTGATTAGACATTTTCTTAGTAATGATTCTCCTAAAATTAATTTAATATTTCAGAATGAGACCAAAGATTCGCTGTTCATTTTGACAACAAGATACTGTGCTATGATTTTAGAGTGTGTAGGTGATGGAGAGCATCTTGAAATACTCACACGTGCCCATGGGAATGTCTCAGATAAAATTGGTGAGCTTTGAGTTTAATTTTGCAGAAGTATTTTTTCATGATTTTTTTATAGCATTTTTATATATGATGCCTGTAGATCAGTTGGCCTTGTTTCCCTAAGTTTTAATGTGAAGGCTGTGATTAAATTAGTTACGTGATATTGGTGATTGGTGTCATACATAAGAACATAAGAAAGAAGGAACACTGCAACAGGCCTACTGGCCTATGCGAGGCAGGTCCAAGTCTCCCACCGGCTTAAGCCAGTGCCTTGACCTAGTGAGGTCAGACACATCACTTAAGGGAGGAGCACAGCATCTGCCCTAGTAGCACAAGCTAGTCAGGTCCAACTCACACATCCACACCCACTCGTGTATTTATCCAGCCTATTTTTAAAACTACACAACGTCTTAGCTTCTATGACGGTACTCGGAAGTTTGTTCCACTCATCCACAACTCTATTACCAAACCAGTACTTTCCTATATCCTTCCTGAATCTGAAGTTTTCCAATTTAAAACCATTGCTGCGAGTCCTGTCTTTAAGATATTTTTAGCATGCTATTTACATCCCCTTTATTAATTCCTGTTTTCCATTTATACACCTCAATCATATCCCCCCTAATTCTACGCCTTTCTAGAGAGTGCAGGTTCAGGGCCTTCAGTCTATCCTCACAGGGAAGATACATAGGATACATAGGATCAACATTGTCATCCGCCTTTGTATGTTTTCCAGTGCATTTATATCCATTCTGTAATACAGTTACGAACAGTCAGGCGTTAATCTTCTACTTGAGCGGTTGCTTTTGCAGCTGCTAAGACATACACACGTAGTGTTAGGACTTACACACATAGTGTTAGGACTTACACACGTAGTGTTAGGACATACACACGTAGTGTTAGGACATACACATGTAGTGTTAGGACATACACATGTAGTGTTAGGACATAAACACATAGTGTTAGAACATACACATGTAGTGTTAGGACATACACACGTAGTGTTAAGGCATACACACGTAGTGTTAGAACATACACACGTAGTGTTAAGACATACACACATAGTGTTAGGACATACACATGTAGTGTTAGAACATACAAATGTAGTGTTCAGACATACACATGTAGTGCTAAAACACATACACATAGTGTTAAGACACACACGTAGTGTTAGGACATACACACAGTGTTAGGACATACACATGTAGTGTTAGGACATACACACATAGTGTTAGGACATACACACGTAGTGTTAGGACATACACACGTAGTGTTAGGACATACACACGTAGTGTTAGGACATACACACGTAGTGTTAGGACATATACACGTACATAGTTCTGATACATTTACTTCTGATAAATACAGTACGTACTTATTAGAATTCTGAACTAATGGAATACTCTAGTAGTATAAAGTACAGGTACCTATCCTAAAATGCTGTAACCATGAATGTAACAAAGACTAAACAGCATCAGTAAAATTTTTTACTAATTACTAACCTTACATTCTACCTAATTCATACACCCTCTACAGAGGTTATACTGTACAGTAAACTCCCCATTTAATTTTCTATATATTTTTAAATATTGTTCTAATCAAACCTAGTTGCATCATTTCCAGACATTAATGTCTGAAAATCCATTTAATTTTGCCTGAGTCCTAGAGGTGGAAAGTACAGTGCCTGCATTCTGAAGGAGGGGTTTGGGATATTTACTGTTCAGAGGGATATCAAAACTGTTGTATCTGTGCACCTGGCAAGACAGTGATAGTGTGAATGATGGTGAAAGTGTTCCTTTATCAGGTCACCCTACCTCAGTGGGAGATGGCCAGTGTGTTAACTCCTTGACTGTCGTAACCCCCAATCCTGAGGCGTCTCCTAGTGTTGCAAAATTTAAAAAAAAAAAAAATTGTTTTTTCTTATGAAATGATAGAGAATCTTTTCCCGATTGTAATGACACCAAAAAAATTGAAATTTGATGAAAACTAAAGGAATTACGCTCACGCAAAGTTAGTGACCTCGGCAATATTTACAAATCGGCGATTTCGCCCACTTTGAGCCCTATTTTTGGCTAATTCCATTATTCCAGTCAACCAAACTCATAGCTATTTCTTTAGAACTCCATTTTTTTCTATCGATTGAGTACAAGAAACTGCCCATTTACCGATTTCAACTACCCAATAACGTGGTCAGAAATTTGCAATTTGGCCAATTTCACAAAAATTAAAAAATATGACAATTTCAAAATAAGGTTCAGAATGAACAATGCAGACATTCCTGGCTCTAAAATAACATTTTCTTTGTTCATCAGTCACATCTCCAGGCCCCTCTGATATTACTCTTGCTTTCTACTTTGAATTTTTATTCAAACAAAAAATAGAAGATTTATTGTTATGCAGACTACTGCAATATTGTAATAATTGTACAAATAATGTCAACCCATTCATGACTGCATATTAGAATGGCTAGTTGGATATTTATTGGACAATGACATCATTTGTTTACTTTTGAACATCAGCAAAAATCAAACATTTTCCCTACTTTGAGCTCCATTTCCAGGTTCTTTTTATAGTAAAACCAATCAAAATCACCTCTACTTCTATAATATGTTTTCCATTCTATCAAATGAGACCAAGAAAACAAGAATAGAACCATAAATACTATACGAAAATAAACCTCAAAGTTGGCATTTTAATTAAAAAAAACGGTCAGTTTTTTTCTCATTATGCACTGTATGCTCTAGGATTTTTTTTTATATGGTGCACACTGACTACACAGACTCATTTTCTCACATGTGGGCCTACCAGCTTTCTCCTGCTTGATTTGAAGCCGCTAGAAATTATGAGTATATATATGTCAAACACGGTACCTCGTAAGACGTATATATACGACCAAAACAGTCAAGGGTTAAATAAAAATACATCCAAGCTTGATGGTGAAGTTACCTGTGTCATTGTGATTAATGAATGTAAGGTCACACTGTCATTATGATAGTTGATTTGTAACTTACTTATTCCATCTGAAAGGATCATGTGATGTGCAGTGATAGTAGATAGTTATCAATATTAATTTGTAGTTTTCTGTCATATGTTCTCTTGTTTTGTGATGTTATGAAAAGGATAAAGTTTGGTAGAAACCACAGCAGCCACTTTGCTATCAATGGGTGCTACTGTATTACAGATAGACATACAATATTATTAAATAATATTAAGGATTTCCATTTTCTCCAAACTTTTGACACAGGTAAACCATGTGAAACTGGAATGATAGCCATTGTTGACCCCCAAGCTCGGTGCATTGTTCTGCGTCTTTATGAAGGCCTTATTAAAGTCATCCCACTTGATAAAGACAACAATGAACTAAAGGCTTATAATATTCGGTAAGTTTTGTGTACATCCTTCTTTAAACCCATTATCTGATGTAGAGGGACTGTGGGGTAATAAAAATTCATATTGTGTTCTATGCTTTATAGTGGTCTATTTTTTATATTGGTGAATTAAATGGAACATATATCTAGTTATTATTTTTTTTTTCAACAAGTCGGCCGTCTCCCACCGAGGCAGGGTGACCCAAAGAGAAAGAAAATCCCCAAAAAGAAAATACTTTCATCATCATTCAACACTTTCACCTCACTCACACATAATCACTGTTTTTGCAGAGGTGCCCAGAATACAACAGTATAGAAGTATATACATATAAAAATACACAATATATCCCTCCAAACTGCCAGTTATATTCATATCAAACATCAGTGCATATGATAATTTCTGAATTATGCATGAAAACCATAAAAACTAAAATTAATATTTCTTGGCCATTTTGAAGTAAAATACAAATATGAACCCACCAGACATGACATAAAACAAAAATATAGATAAAAATATTAATGAATTTAATTAAAGAAACAATGGAGTACAGGTTGACCATCACTAATATGGCATCAATGGGACATGTAGGGTGCCAGATTAGTGATTTTTCCAAATTACAGAGTGGTTAGGTTAGAATACACTTAACATATTAGCTAACCACCTCATGCTACCTTTAAAATATCCCATAAATCAGTACAAGTTGATTAACCCTTTCACTGTCATGACCCCTGCTTGCAAACTTGCTCCCAGTGTTGAAGAATTTTCAAACAAACAAAAAAAAATGATTTTATCTTAAGAAACGATAATCTTTTTCCAAAGGTAATGAAACCAAAAGTTAGAAATTTGATGGAAAACTTCAGGAATTACGCTCTCACAAGGTTAGTGGTCTCGGCGATATTTACGCATCGGTGATTGCATCCACTTATGCCCTGTTTTTGGCCAATTCCATTGTTCCAGTCGACCATACTCATAGCTATTTTGCTAGTATTCCTTCTGTTGATTGAGTACAAGCAACCACCAATTTACCCATTTCAACCACCCAGTAAAGTGATCAGAAATCAGTAATTTGGCCAATTTCACACAGATTTTGAGATGCCAATTTCAAAATAATGTCCAGAATAAACAGTGTAGCCATTCCTGGCACTAAAATAACATCACGTCTCCAGGCCCCTCTTATATTACGCTTACTTTCCATTCTGAATTTTTTATTTATACAAAAAATAGAAGGTTTACTGTTATACAGACTACTGCATTATTGTAATAATTGTATAAATAATGTCAACCCATTCGTGACTGTGTATTAGACTGGCCACTTGGACACCTATTGGATGTGTGACGTGATTTGTTTACTCTTGAACATTGGCAAAAGTCAAACATTTCCACTACTTTGAGCTCAATCTTAAGGTACTTTCCATCTTGAAACCAATCAAAATCATCTCTATTTTTGTAATATATCTTCCATTCTATGAAATGAGACCAAGAAACTGAGAATACAACCATAAAAACTATGCGAAAATACACCTCAAAGACAGAAAAACAAATTGGATTGGTTTGCCTGTGTTTGCAAGTGACATCAACACTATATGCAACAAGTAGCAGCAGGTTCGTGAGGCGACCTGTGAAATTTAAAATTACGCTAGCTGAAATTAGTGCCGGATTAGTGATTGCCAGATCAGTGATGGCTGACCTGTTCTAAACAAATATGAACTCTTGATGTTTGTGTGAAAAGCTGTACAGTAGGGCCCTGCTTTACAGTGTTTTGCTTTACAGCGCTCCACTAATGCGGACATTTCAAATTATGATCAAAACTCGCTATACAGTTACCGCGCCTCATCCGGTTTGTTTACAGTCTCCATGAGCTCCACAAGCTCCGCATCTCTCCATTATGTTTGAAAACCTTCAAAAATTTCAAGTGTTTTAAAGTTATTTCATATTTTATATATATGTACTCTGATAATTATACTTATGTGTACCTGTATCTAAGTAAACTTACATACTGTGCTGGTGTACAGGTACACATTAAAATCACTAAGTGTCTTATGTCTCGACAACGCCATATTAATATTTTTTTTTTTTTTTATCACACTGGCCGATTCCCACCAAGGCAGGGTGGCCCGAAAAAGAAAAACTTTCACCATCATTCACTCCATCACTGTCTTGCCAGAAGGGTGCTTTATACTATAGTTTTTAAACTGCAGCATTAACACCCCTCCTTCAGAGTGCAGGCACTGTACTTCCCATCTCCAGGACTCAAGTCCGGCCTGCCGGTTTCCCTGAACCCCTTCATAAATGTTACTTTGCTCACACTCCAACAGCACGTCAAGTATTAAAAACCATTTGTCTCCATTCACTTCTATCAAACACGATCATGCATGCCTGCTGGAAGTCCAAGCCCCTCGCACACAAAACCTCCTTTACCCCCTCCCTCCAACCTTTCCTAGGCCGACCCTACCCCGCCCTTCCTTCCACTACAGACTGATACACTCTTGAAGTCACTCTGTTTCGCTCCATTCTCTCTACATGTCCGAACCACCTCAACAACCCTTCCTCAGCCCTCTGGACAACAGTTTTTGGTAATCCCACACCCCCTCCTAACTTCCAAACTACGAATTCTCTGCATTATATTCACACCACACATTGCCCTCAGACATGACATCTCCACTGCCTCCAGCCTTCTCTTCGCTGCAACATTCATCACCCATGCTTCCACACCATATAAGAGCGTTGGTAAAACTATACTCTCATACATTCCCCTCTTTGCCTCCAAGGACAAAGTTCTTTGTCTCCACAGACTCCTAAGTGCACCGCTCACCCTTTTCCCCTCATCAATTCTATGATTCATCTCATCTTTCATAGACCCATCCGCTGACACGTCCACTCCCAAATATCTGAATACATTCACCTCCTCCATACTCTCTCCCTCCAATCTGATATCCAATCTTTCATCATCTAATCTTTTTGTTATCCTCATAACCTTACTCTTTCCTGTATTCACTTTTAATTTTCTTCTTTTGCACACCCTACCAAATTCATCCACCAATCTCTGCAACTTCTCTTCAGAATCTCCCAAGAGCACAGTGTCATCAGCAAAGAGCAACTGTGACAACTCCCACTTTATGTGTGATTCTTTATCTTTTAACTCCACGCCTCTTGTCAAGACCCTCGCATTTACTTCTCATACAACCCCATCTATAAATATATTAAACAACCACGGTGACATCACACATCCTTGTCTAAGGCCTACTTTTACTGGGAAATAATAATAATAATAATAATAATACTCGGAGGAAGATTAAGTGTCATATATTATGTTAATATAAACATTGTCATTAATCCATCTATGATATTTTTTCAAAATTATATAATAAACATGCTATGTAACGTTTTTTTTTTTTTTTGTCAACGAGTCGGTCGTCTCCCACCGAGGCAGGGTGACCCAAAAAAAAGAAAGAAAATCCCCAAAAAGAAAATACTTTCATCATCATTCAACACTCACCACACTCACACATTATCACTGCTTTTGCAGAGGTGCTCAGAATACAACAGCTTAGAAGTATATACGTATAAAGATACACAACATATCCCTCCAAACTTCCAATATCCCAAACCACTCCTTTAAAGTGCAGGCATTGTACTTCCCATTTCCAGGACTCAAGTCCGACTATATGAAAATAACCAGTTTCCCTGAATCCCTTCACTAAATATTACCCTGCTCACACTCCAACAGATCGTCAGGTCCCAAGTATCATTCGTCTCCATTCACTCCTATCTAACAAGCTCATGCACGCTTGCTGGAAGTCCAAGCCCCTCGCCCACAAAACCTCCTTTACCTCCTCTTTCCAACCCTTTCGAGGACGACCCCTACCCCTCTTTCCTTCCCCTATAGATTTATATGCTTTCCATGTCATTCTACTTTGATCCATTCTCTCTAAATGACCAAACCACCTCAACAACCCCTCTTCTGCCCTCTGACTAGTGCTTTTATTAACTCCACACCTTCTCCTAATTTCCACACTCCGAATTTTCTGCATAATATTTACACCACACATTGCCCTTAGACAGGACATCTCCACTGCCTCCAACCGTCTCCTCGCTGCTGCATTTACCACCCAAGCTTCACATCCATATAAGAGTGTTGGTACTACTATACTTTCATACATTCCCTTCTTTGCCTCCATAGATAACGTTTTTTGACTCCACATATACCTCAACGCACCACTCACCTTTTTTCCCTCATCAATTCTATGATTAACCTCATCCTTCGTAAATCCATCCGCCGACACTTCAACTCCCAAGTATCTGAAAACATTCACCTCTTCCATACTCCTCCTCTCCAATTTGATATCCAATTTTTCTTTATCTAAATCATTTGATACCCTCATCACCTTTCTCTTTTCTGTGTTCACTTTCAACTTTCTACCTTTACACACATTCTCAAACTCATCCACTAACCTTTGCAATTTTTCTTTAGAATCTCCCATAAGCACAGTATCATCAGCAAAAAGTAACTGTGTCAATTCCCATTTTGAATTTGATTCCCCATAATTTAATCCCACCCCTCTCCCGAACACCCTAGCATTTACTTCTTTTACAACCCCATCTATAAATATATTAAACAACCATGGTGACATTACACATCCCTGTCTAAGACCTACTTTTACCGGAAAGTATTCTCCCTCTCTTCTACATACCCTAACCTGAGCCTCACTATCCTCATAAAAGCTCTTTACAGCATTTAGTAACTTACCACCTATTCCATATATTTGCAACATCTGCCACATTGCTCCTCTATCCACTCTATCATATGCCTTTTCTAAATCCATAAATGCAGTAAAAACTTCCCTACCTTTATCTAAATACTGTTCACATATATGCTTCAATGTAAACACTTGATCTACACATCACCTACCCACTCTGAAGCCTCCTTGCTCATCCGCAATTCTACATTCTGTCTTACCTCTAATTCTTTCAATTATAACCCTACCGTATACTTTTCCTGGTATACTCAGTAAACTTATTCCTCTATAATTTTTACAATCTCTTTTGTCCCCTTTCCCTTTATATAAAGGGACTATACATGCTCTCTGCCAATCCCTAGGTACCTTCCCCTCTTTCATACATTTATTAAACAAAAGTACCAACCACTCCAACACTATATCCTCCCCTGCTTTTAACATTTCTGTCATGATCCCATCAGTTCCAGCTGCTTTACCCCCTTTCATTCTACGTAATGCCTCACGTACCTCCACCACACTTACATTCTGCTCTTCTTCACTCCTAAAAGATGGTATACCTCCCTGGCCAGTGCATGAAATTACCGCCTCCCTTTCTTCCTCAACATTTAAAGGTTCCTCAAAATATTCTTGCCATCTACCTAATACCTCCCTCTCCCCATCTACTAACTCCCCTACTCTGTTTTTAACTGACAAATCCATACTTTCCCTAGGTTTTCTTAACTTGTTTAACTCACTCTAAAATTTTTTCTTATTTTCATTAAAATTTCTTGACAGTGCCTCTCCCACTCTTTCATCTGCTCTCCTTTTACACTCTCTCACCACTCTCTTCACCTTTCTTTTACTCTCCATATACTCTGCTCTTCTTATAACACTTCTGCTTTGTAAAAACCTCTCGTAAGCTACCTTTTTCTCTTTTATCACACCCTTTACTTCATCATTCTACCAATCACTCCTCTTTCCTCCTGCCCCCACCCTCCTATGACCACAAACTTCTGCCCCACATTCTGATACTGCATTTTTAAAACTATTCCAACCTTCTTCAACCCCCCCACTACTCATCTTTGCACTAGCCCACCTTTCTGCCAATAGTCGCTTATATCTCGCCCGAACTTTCTCCTCTCTTAGTTTATACACTTTCACCTCCCTCTTACTTGTTGTTGCCACCTTCCTCTTTTCCCATCTACCTCTTACTCTAACTGTAGCTACAACTAAATAATCATCCGATATATCAGTTGCCCCTCTATAAACATGTACATCCTGGAGCCTACCCATCAACCTTTTATCCACCAATACATAATCTAACAAACAACTTTCATTACGTGCTACATCATACCTTGTATATTTATTTATCCTCTTTTTCATAAAATATGTATTACTTATTACCAAATTTCTTTCTACACATAGCTCAATTAAAGGCTCTCCATTTACATTTACCCCTGGCACCCCAAATTTACCTACTTTTCCCTCCATAACATTTTTACCTACTTTAGCATTGAAATCCCCAACCACCATTACTCTCACACTTGATTGAAAACTCCCCACGCATTCACTCAACATTTCCCAGAATCTCTCTCTCTCCTCTACACTTCTCTCTTCTCCAGGTGCATACACGCTTACTATAACCCACTTTTCACATCCAGTCTTTATTTTACTCCACATAATCCTTGAATTTATACATTTGTAGTCCCTCTTTTCCTGCCATAACTTATCCTTCAACATTATTGCTACTCCTTCTTTAGCTCTAACTCTATTTGAAACCCCTGTATGTAACGTATAAACATGATAAATATACCCCACAGTAGAATAAATAAACATAAATACAGTGGTACCCCGATTTTCGTACAGCTCCCAACTCGAACAATTATGTAAATGTATTATTATAAGTGCTTTTGTAAGTGTATTTTGGGGGTCTGAAACAGACTAATCTAATTTACATTATTCCTTATGGGAACAAATTTGTTCAGTAATGGCACTTGAACAGCCTTCTGGAATGAATTATGGCCAAAACTTGGGGTACCACTATAGTTCAACACCAAAGAAAATGTGTACACTGCTGTACTTCAAACTAATGCACTATGGTATCAGAGGCCACTCCCTCAAC